GTTTGCCAACAGTACATGACACTGCACAACATACTGCATTTACCAGTAACACATTGCGTTGCATCATTGTAATGCAGACATCTGGAACAAATGATACTTCATATAATAAACACATGAAGGAATGAAACAGTAGAGTAGGAAAGTCACACCTGCTCATATATTTGCTCGGCTCTCTTTGATAATGCCCGTCTCTGGTAAATGCTCCATAGAATCCTGAGCAGTGCTGCAGACTAAGGTTTTATCATCATTTGAGCTGCGTTTGAATGGATGCTTGTCTAAGGCAGTAATGTTACAAGCGTACCAGGAGACAGAAGGTGATCACAAAGATGATATTGCTAGAGATCCATTGACGAGCTTGACAAGACAGGGGCCTATGAAGCTCCGCGGCCAGCTCTGGACATTTAAACGCTTGGACACTAAACGGAAGAAAATTAGAGCGAGTTCCCAGCAACTGTCAAGGAATCTAATAACATGTACCGCATTGAGGACAAAAGAGGTTGTGATTACGCATACTTGTCATAAGTTGACGTTGTCTCCAAGAAGCCATGTGCGCTCTGCAGCACCCTCTCTTTTACGACTTTGATTCCATCGTCACTTAGGCGGGCGGCATCCTTGGATAACAGATCGTCAGCCATACTTGAGATGTCATGTTGTTGGAACTGAAAGTGAGATAACAGAATCACTAGATGATGAGGGTTACAGCTGTTCCGCAGAAGTAGTTCAATAGGCAATACCAAGATCATGCCGGGCTGGCCGCACAGCACACGGGCATGCTCATCGCAGATTCTATGCTGGAGCAACTCTGCCTGCAAGTATGTTGTGTAGATGTTAATAATAATGTGTATAAGCCTGTGGATGCAGGCAAGAAAAATGGGGTCAGGTCAGGTCAGCAGGGCAGTACGATCTTGTTGGCGGTGTGGGTGAGCAGGCCATCCTCCACGCATGCCCTGCCGCGTTTCTTGAACCCCTCTACGCACCGCAGCTCGCCGTCGACGCACCGGCCGTTCTCCGGGCAGGGTTCGCACGAATCTGCAGAGGCAAACACAGCACATGAGGAATTTTCATTTGGACAGATTAACAAGGTAGTGATTTGCTTCTCATGGTAAGTA